ACACATTTTGTTAGTTCATAAAAGCATATTTTCGCCAAGTACCAATTTTGTGTGATATATTTAGAACCATTTGATTTTTTTTCCTTTTTTTTTTTTTATCCTCACTCAAGGACTTTTTTCCCATTTTTATTCAGATATAGTGGGTGAGAGACAGAGAGAGAGAGAGAGAGAGAGAGAGAAACATTGACCTAAAAGGGACACATCGAGTGGCTGCCTCCAGGGCCAGGGACGAATCGAAACTGAGGTAAGTGCCCTTGGCCGGAACTGAACCCACAACTCATTGGTCTGTGGGCTGACGTTCTAACTGCTGAGCCAAATCAGCCAGGGCTAGAACCATTTAATTTTTGTTTCATTTATATTCAAATATACAATCTGGATTTTTGTTTGAAAATTAGAAAGTCTAAAGTTTGGAAAGAAGAACACTTTAAAATTAAGTTTAGAAGACATTTTAACAACAGTTTGAAATAATCACTGGCAGCCAAATACGTTAGTTTTGTTAAATCCAAGACAGGACAGGGAGGGCTTTTTTTTAAGTGAACTAACAAGTGGTTTGTGAATATAGTTTGCTCTTAAAAGGACACCTGATTTTTAAAAACAGGAGATAGAAAGAAGACTAGAATTCTTCAGATTTCTTTGGTTCTTCCATTCGGTGACTAGGAAGTGATAAATTAAACCCCACCTGTGGTGTAAGTCAACAGTGACACAGATTACCACTTCCTGCTGAAAAAGCTGCACATCTTGACACTCTTAGAATTCCCTAATTGTTACTGAATTAAGTTCAACTCTTGGCATTCTTCATAAGACAGCTGTACCTGTAAAATCTAACCACATCAAAAAAAGATAACAAACTCAAACAAATTCTAGAAGTCAGGAAGGATTTACTGTTTTTCCTTTTGAGCCATAAACATATGCATGACAGATACAAAGACAGTAAAGAATAGTTTTAGGTAATGTCTATATTTGAGAGTCTCCAAGGGCTTTATAGATTTAAGTATACAAATTTAATTAACTCTTTAAATGTTTTCAGGAAATAAAAGGGCAAAATAACAAATCATTATATACTTAAAAACTACTAAAATATAACTATGTGTTGAATCACAAATAAAAGGTTTCTAAAATGCTAGAACTACCAAAATATCAAGAGAGAAAAACAGAAATAGCAAACAAAATGTAACAACACAACTACAATCCCAGGAAGGATTGAGAATTTTAAATTTGAGTAAAGAAGCAGCAGAGATTATCCAGGATTCAGCTCACCATTTGAAAATGGCCAAAATAATGCATGACAAGTCTCTTTTGCAAACCTTGCTTTAAGTGTTACGCAATCTGGAAATAGCAATGTGCTTGAAGTCAAAATGTAGATTCTAGAGGTTCTCAAAGAACAGATGTTTTACCTTCAATAAAATCTCTTTTCATAAAGAACCTAATTTATGAACTAAACTGTCTTGAAGAATAAAAGTTCAGAATGCCTCTGAGATTTCCATCCCTTTCCTATTATTAATTCATGGGCATCTCAAGAACCAAACTGCTCCTAAATGGAACCAGTTGCACCTCCTCTGTAGCACCTATTGTTTTTGAGAAAGTGTGCTTTGAGCAGGCAAACCCTCCAGTATGAGTCATTACCACTTTCCTAAACCTGGAATTTCCTTGTTTGCACTTTGACAACTCCGGGTCAGGTCTTTAGGTTAACAGTGAAGGGAATATTGGGGTTATTCAAAAGATGAAGATAAAAAGGCAAATCCCTGATTTTACATACTACTGCTATAGGAAAACCATACTGCCAAATCACTGGAATTATCATTGGAAAAAATTACAACTACATTCCAGTAATGTTGCACCAAAAATGTAGTGAAACTGATCTGTTAGATCCTTCCAGTTATTGACCATGTATCTTATTTTCCATTCATTTGGAGGTAAGTGAAAGCTAAAAAGAAAAAAAGTTAAAAGTAATAATAACTAAGTAACAATACTATATGGTGCAACTAACTAAAAACAAGTGATATATATTTTGCTCTTTTAGGATGAGTTCTTAAAAGAGAAAAAACAAAAAAGATTGTTACCAATGTAACATATCAGTTAGCAGCTAGGGCTGAAACAGACTCTGGCTACAATTTTATTATTTTCCAGGAAAATTTCCAAATCACTTCTCTAAGAAAGATTTCAACTTATATTCATACAAAATGTAAAATTTAGTAAATTTCCTCACCCTGTCAATACAAATCAACTTTTTTAGTGTGGGGCGCGTGTCTGTACCAAACTACTGGAGGCTGAAGAGAAGAATCATCTAGTCCTGCACTCCTGCAACACCCACCTCACCTCTTCCCATCCTCTTCTCCCAGTGACTTTAGTCTAGATAAAAGGAAAGTGTTCAGAGATGATAAAATAAACATAACTGCAAACTCACATTGCTTAGAATCTAGTTAGCAAGAAAGACTTTTGTTGATCAAAACCAACATCAATGCACCAAGTATAATAAAAGTAAGCAGCACTTACAGCTCCCTGCAGCCAGGGTGACAGATGGATAATGATAATAAGCTATTGCTAATGAGGAGGGTTAAAACAAACAGATGGACTATATGCAAGTAAAAGAATGAGACAAAAAATTAACAAAAAATGGCACAGATTATAGTTTTTCCTTATCAAAAATGAAAAACTTGAACCAATGATTATATCATTCTGATCTGTAAATACAATTCCCTGAATACAAAAGTCTAAAGTTGACAACACTCTATAATCTTCATGTATACAGTTAACACCTCTACAAGCCAATTATGCATCTCCCATAAATATAGTCATCCACCTCTAAATACCTAAGACGTTTTTCTAACTTTATAGGGTGATAAAAGGTTCTGCCACCTAACTACTTCCTTGACTTGGCTTTTAATTTTTTTTTTTTATCCTCACCAGAGGACGTTTTTGCATTTATCCCTAGATAGAGCGGGTGGGAGAGAGGGAGGAAGAGAGAGAGAGAAACATCGATGAGAGAGACACACCGAGTGGCTGCCACCCACACGACCCCAACCGGGGCCGGGGACAAACTGCAACCGAGGTACATGCCCTTAGCAGGAACCAAACCTGGGACTCTCCGGTCCACTGGCCAAAGCTCCAACCGCTGAGCCAACCGTCCAGAGCATCCTTGACTTGGTTTTTAAAACAATACAATGTTACAAGGGGGCTGGACTTACAGATGCCATCCAACTAATGAAGGAGTCAAACACTTTGTATTTTCTCGTCTCCATTGTCCCCTAGCTAATTGCCATTTTAAACTTCAAATATACAAAAGATGAGTAATAATTGTATTCAAAGCATAAAATGAGTGGGTTGTCAAAATATGCTACAGCGGACCTCACATTCAATCATTATTCACCCTAAATCCAAATCCCAGTGTTTGTGGGTGGTAGGGAGGAAGAAAACCTAAACAATATTGACAAGAGGTCATTTTTGTTTTATTTTAATTTTTTTTATAATCCTCACCTGAGGATATTTTTCCATTTATCTTCAGATAGAGTGGGGGCAGGAGAGGGGGAGACAGAGAGAGAGAAACATCAACGTGAGAGAGACATATCGATTTGTTGCCTCCCGCACGATCCTTACCAAGGATGGAACCGCAACCTTTGACCAGAATCGAACCCAAGACTCTGATCCAAGGGCCAACGCTCTAACCACTGAGCAAAACCAGTCAGGGCAAGAGGCCATTTTTAAAACACCATCCTGATACTTTAATGGCTTGGAAAATCAGCCAGTGCCACATAAAACAATTTATCTAAAATTGACCAAAAATTATTTCAAATTACATTTCATCAGCTTGTTTTTATAAAACCAACTTCAAAGTATAATACACTATTCAAGGTCCCAACCCACCCACTCCCAATACCAAGGAAGAGGCCTCAGGTGTTAAAGCAAGAAACTTAACTGCATCGTTTCTACTGACCAGCCCTCAATCTCAGATAGGAAAATTATTTATCTTATATTTCCCTTTACCTACTTCTTTCAAGATTCATAGTTCTTTTTTTTTTTTTTAATCCACATCTGTGCTGAGGATATGTTTATTGATTTGAGAGAGAAAGAAACATCGATCAGTTGCCTCCCATATGTGCACCGACTGGGAATCGAACCCACAGCCAAATGTGTGCCCATAGTTCTTTCCAAATCCTACGGAAACACGTTAAGTACCACTGAATGACTGTTAGCACCTGTCTTTCTCGGGCAAGTTTTACTAAGTCAAAAATACAAAATGTTTTTTAAATAAGTCACAATCAATCAGGCAGATGCCCCAACTGACAGACATGTAAGACACAAAAAACTTATTTAGAAGTCTCTAGCTTGACCGTGGGTCCTGGATGGCAGAGACCCTTATTTCCTCAACACAACACCTAGGAGTGATTGACCAAGAGCTATGCCTTCACTTAGGTAAGTACAGACACACTTCCTTGAAAATGCACCCCCCCCCCCCACACACACACATCTCCTCACTTTCCAATGCTGGAGCAGCCACTGAAGACCTTGCATCTTTTTCACCATGAAGGAATACTTTGAAGTTATTAAAAAAAAAATCCTTGGTCACATCAAGATTACACAGAAACTTAGAAAGTGTTTATGTTATAATGTTATAAAAGCAAAATATAAAGTGTACTATGTAACTATGTAGAAAACGTGCATCTAGCCAGCACCATGTGAAACTGTAAAGTAGTTATATGAGGGTAAGAAGGCTACTGTGAGATGATTTTCAAAATTATGAACTTAAAATTTTCACCTATTTTTCTATTATTTTTGCATTTTTGAGAAAATATTACACATGCTAAAGTTGAAATAGTACTTACTACAACTATATTACAAATTCTGGATGAAAGAAGCTTCGAGGGGCTGCTCTTGGAAAATCTTACCATTGAGTATAATACTGTTTCTATGAGGGAAAAGCATAAAAATGCACAACAAACAAACACTTCACACACTCCATCTGAAAGAGCCCGTGCTAATTAAAGGCTTCCCCTATTATTTACCAAAGAGCTCGGACAAATGTGTCCCTCTTTCTCTAATTCCTACAGTTCCAGTTTCCTTGCTGTCACCTGAAAGAGAATGTGGGAAGACAAAGAAAGGGAAAAGAAATGTGAGCTTGCTTTCACGTGATGTCTTTGTGGCATCTGCAGGAACAAACCCTGGGGAAAGGCCTCGTCTGCAGATTGCATTTTCCATGCTATCCCCGTCCCTAATTAACACAGATAATTCTGAGTCTGCCATACTATAATTTATTAATCATATTCAATTAATCTAATCAGTTGTAAAACAGGAAAGGGCAACAGTGCAAGCTTTAATAAAGTGAGCTCACTGCACTTTGGAAGCTGCTCAGCTGAGGCTCACAGTGAATTCCCACACACCCAAAGGGCAAAAGTGGCCTTGGTGAATAATGTGCACTGTCTATTTTTAACTCATTTTTGTAGTCATAAGGACCCATATTACAATGTGAATTAGAAAAAAGAAACAGCAGGTAGATATAAATTTAAAAAGTAAACTCAGGGATACAGAGGGTAGAGAATTCTAGGTTCTTAAGTATGTAAGGGGTGGGTGGGGCCAGAGTATTGCCCTACATGAACAGCTGAGAAAAAACAAAACAAATGACCATCAAGTTGAAAATTTTACCTCTGCAATTGAAAAGGTAGTATTTTACAATGTTAAAGTTATCAGTTTTTTAACTGATGCAAAAGTATACTGGTAGCATCTTAACTGTAACCCTCAATTACTAATATGAAAGGCAAAAACAATTATCTACTCACATGATTATTTTACAGACACACTGTCATTTCAAGCATGTCCTCAGGCAAGCCCAGGACAGGATTTCCACATCTGGTGGTCACAACGTTGTGTTCCCAGTTTGGACAGCATAGTCATTAGGCCAGGAAATGTATATGATAGTGATGCAAAGAAGTTCAGATACACAATGACTGTGTATTTTTAACCCCAAATGGTCCGTCAGCAGAATGAGGATGGTGAAAGAAAATGTCACAGGTAGCCAGGTCAGTGTGGCTCAGTGCATTGAGCATCGTCCCATGGACTGAGAAGTCCTGGTTTGATTCCTGGTCAGGGCACATGCCCAGGTTGCAGGCTCGATCCCCAGTAGGGGGTGTGCAGGAGGCAGCCAATCGATGTTTCTCTGTCACATCGATGTTTCTCTCTCTCTCAAAAATCAATAGAAACATTTAAAAAAAAGAAAAGAAACTGTCACTGGCCCTTTTGGGAACAGAAGAGATCACAACCACTGGGCTCCTGTTCTTTGCATGAACTTCTGAAAGTAACAGAAGAAAGCAGAAAAAAATTGTACAATCAGAAATACTGATATTTAATCTACTTCAAATAAGCCCTTGCAGGCTTTAAGGTTGAAGTCCATGCTTGTTGATTATGGTACTAACTTTGCAACCAATTCTTCAGCCTATGTGCGAGTATAATCCGTTTTTAAATTATAGAACAGAAACTGAGAAATAGAAACTGATAGGCTTCACAGGGTCTATACAAAGATATGGCTAAAGATTTCTCAACCACAAGAAATACAATGTGGTTAAGCTCAGTCAGATGTAGTCACACTTAATGAAAACTAAGTTGACATATTTTAATATTTAATTTGACAAGGAATATTGAGCCCAACATGAACCTGACACTGTACTAGGCACTGAGGAATGCAAAGAAGGAAAGTTATGGGCTTGAGGGAGTTCCTAGGCTAGCAGTCACTGACATTTCATGTGAAAATCCTACCATCACATTTGTATCTCTTCAGGAGCCGGAACTAACCACAGATGATGAACCAAAAGGAAACATGATTTTCTAAGATATGCAACTGCCTGCTTTAATTCTGTCATTCCTACAAGCAAGCATGTAATTATCTCCCTAAAGGCTGAGAGTAAACAAGTGGCATTTGTCTATCACAAACGGTAAAAATAGTAACAGCAATTTTTCACTGTTGTTTAGAAACCAATTTGGCTTAAGATTTAAGAGTTTTTGTGTTGTGTTTTAAAGTACTCACTATATCCCCTTCACATTCCCTCCCTGCACTCCAGCACACACACTATAGTCTTAATCAAATCTGAAGTTCTCGCTGAGCTCGAAGAGCTTTGATGACCAGCTGAAAATCAAAACGAGCTCATGTATTTCTAAAGAATGGCCATATTAAAAACTGTCACTTTTAGGCTATTACAGTAAAACTGCAATATAACAAACTAATTCAGGCAAGGAAGTGTCCTTTAAAGCCAAAAGTCCATTACATAATAAAGCTGAGAAATGCGTATACTGAAAAATCGACAAGTTTATCTGTTTTTACTTATGCAACATGTTTGTATGTATGTATTAAATTAAGTATGTATGAAAAGTTTAATTTCACAGAAAAGTTTCCTATATGTATTACTGTAATTTTTTGTTTTTTACCTATTACTATAATTAGGTAATAGTAAATGCGTGCATTCACCAGTCACCATGAGTAAACAAATGCACAAGGCTGGGGCATAGTTTAGCGCACGTGGGAACATTCACCTGCAAGAGTAAAACAATCACACCACGTGACAACAGAACTAATTACCATGCATGATGCAGTGATCACACGCTTATCATTCCCTGAACATTGTTTTCAAGTGGTGACACTTGGATTTAAATATGTAGGCTACAGTTGTAGATATTTAATATTTATTTATGTTAGGCGACATTACTACAGTGTTTTGTCCAACATATGGCCTATTCGCTAAAATTTGTTAAAAATAACAGTGAATTAATAACAAAAAGTAACCTGTTAATTTAATTATAAGCAAATCTTATTAGAAGCATTTAAAAATTAACTTGTTAATTAACAGGGTGTTAATTTTCACATATGACATATGGACCAGAAGTTGTGTCTGTTAAATCCAAAATCTGTTAAATCGAGGTCTGAAAAATCAAGGATTTACTGTATTAGCAAAGGCTATCGAATACAGCACACCTCTGTAGCTCAGGTATAGTCTTGAGTCCAGCCTCCAACAAAGTCCTCTGTATGATGAACATGACTAATATCCATTAAAGAGCTACCATTTATGTTGTACTTACTTTACTATGTGCCAACAGCCATGACTATCCCATTTCACAATAAAGAACTTGAGGCTCAAAGAGGTTAAGCAGCTCATCCAAGATGGCAAGCTAACAAGTGGCTGAGCTGGGATACTTGCTAAGGAGAATTCTGTGTGACTCAAGTGGCATGAACGGTGGAATTTCCTTTCAGAATCCTCCCTGGAGGTACTAACTCAGATTACAAAGGATTTGTGAGGAACCACTTTCCAACAGGGCACAGAAATCTGAACCTAGCTCTAGGTCATCTCTAGATCACAAAAGGAGAATGGGTCCTCTCTGGGTGGACCTGAATGTCAGGTATTAGTTCTTTGAGCCCTCTGAGTATGCTTAGTAGAGCCATTCCATAAAGAATTCTTATTCTAGCCCTGGCCGGTTTGGCTCAGCAGTTAGAGCATCGGCCTGCGGTCCGGAGAGACCCGGGTTCGGTTCCCACTAAGGGTATGTACCTCGGTTGCAGTTTGTCCCCGGCCCTGGTCGGTCGTGCGGGTGGCAGCCACTCGATGTGTTCCTTTCACGTTGATGTTTCATTCTCTCTCTGTTCCTCTCTCTCCCTCCCACTCTACCTGAACAAAAAATGGAAAAATATCCTCGGGTGAGGATAAAAAAAAAAGAAAACAAAAGAATTCTTATTCTAGGTTAATCTCAAATAGATCTGATCATCCTGACATCTTGCAAACTGGAAGATTCCATCACTGCAAGTCTGTTTTGAACCAAAGTAAATCTCTCCCCCAGGGCAAGGCCCCAAATAAAGGAATTTCAGGTGAAGGGGCAAAGGGCTCTTATGACTGAAATCTATCCCGGGTTAACCTATAAGACATGGGTTATGACACTTATGCTATACCATGGAACATGCTCTTTGTTCTACAGGCAAGTTTGGGATATGCAGGGTATTATCAGTGCTCAAATGTACTTCTTAAGCATGTGTAAGGTACCTTTTAAATACACCTAAATTTCTTCCTATATGTGATTAATGATTTTTCTCTAATTATAGTTGCATCTTCCAATTCTCAGTTTATAATGAGAAACTATATTAGAAATAACTATAAATGCTCATAAAAAATTGAAATATGACTAGCTAAGAGACTGTTCTGTGACCTCATTGGGGCTCCAAACTCAATGTTCTTTTTACTGTATCACTTGCTTCATTAGGAGACATTTTGTGGGATAATAAAATGGGTTGTTTCATATCACTTCTGAGGCTGCACCATAAGAAAAAACTACATAAAAGACAAAAGAAAAATTCCTTTCTGCAACAATGTATCAGTCAGGGTCTCATCAGGAAAAAGAAACCACTTAAAGAATTTACAACAAAAGGAATTTGATACAGGGACTTGGTTACACAGTCATGAAGTTGCTGAGAGTCAAACAGAAGATAGTAAAAGGTTTGGCAACAGCAGGAAGCCACTACCACCCCAAAGAGAGACAACAGAAGATGGTGTTACTGGAGCTGAAGGCCTAGAGTCACCTGACAAGATGGTGGAAATACTGAGCGCCTGTCCTGTGGGAGCTAGAGGCCCAGAGAAGCCACCTAAAGCAGAAAGGGAGAAGGAGAAATATCCTGGTTTCTCCATTTCTCTTCCCCTCCAATCTCCTGCTGATATCCCTGATTGGCTGAAGCCAGTCTGCAGCCACCTGACCCAGGAGTCTGGGCAGGGGGAAAGGGAGGAGTGGATCAGAGGGAAAACTGACCAAGGACACAAGTAAGCTTTAGCTGCACGAATTTAATGAGTGTTACTGTTAGAAGCCACTGAGATTTTGCAGCTGTGTAACAGCAAAAGCTGGCTGACAGATACTGCCACAAACACCAAGTAGGTGAATAAATAAGCAGACGGAAAAAATAAGATAAACAAAGAATCAAATGTGAAATAATATTAATTATTTTCAATAAGTGCTTTGAGAAAAAACATTTCCACCATTAATGTGTGAGCCTGGGGCAGAGGGCAAGCACTTGTCCGGATCCCCAAGTATGCCCTGGTCCTGCAGGAGAAGCACATTTGAGAACCTGTCTATCTAGCTGGAGGTGGAAAGCAGCCCTGGCCATTTCTAGCTTCACAGTCAACTGGGCAGTTCAGGACGGGATGACCTGGTGAACTGGGAGTGTCATATGCTGGCAAGTCTGGAGCCAGGACTTCCAAAAAGGAAGTCTGTCACTGAGTCAGCAATGTTGCCAAGCCTTAAGCCAGAGAAGTATCAACATAGCTCAAGGGTAGACACTGACATGGTGACTCCAAGCTTTTTGCTTATAATACTTCCATCACAGTACTCACAG